ATAGTACGAAATAATATTTACCTGATAGCTTGGGAGATATATTGGTTGCATTGATCATCACTACAAGCTATGATATCAATACAAGACAATTTTGCTGGTTCAGTTGAGAACATAGATTCAGTTGTTAGAGTGCTTGGTACATGAGGAGGTGTTCTTGTTGTTTTATTTTGAATTTCTGGGGCTGTTGATAAAACAATAATCAATTACATGGATGAACAATATAGGCCAAACAAATTTTCTTACAATAATCCCAAATATTTTTATTCTAAGAAAACTTGGCATTATACAGCCTTCCTTACAGGCACGGGTTAATGCCTATGGTTCCAATAATGGATGAACAATAATAACTAACAAAGTATATAGGCCAAATACAATTTTTCTTACAATAATCACATATATTGGTATAATAAGAAAAACTGTGCATTATACAGCCTTTCTTACAGACATTGGTTAATGCCTATAGTTTAAATAATGAATAGGTGCTCACGTGTTGCGGTTGTCCGTCCAGTTGAGCTCACTGAACCTGTTCGTATGGTGTTAGGTTCTTCAGAAGGTGTTGTTCCACGTGGCACTGTTGGTACACTTTCTGTACTAGACTGTATGCATCTAATTACAAATAGCAACTCAATGCAATCGCTTTCAGAGCAACTACCTACTGTCATTGGTATTACTGTCTTATTCGCAACATAGCCATTTGAGCATGTTGCTGAAACATTGACGGTTTCACCAACATACACACTTACACATGTACTTGTTTCATTACCGGTTGTGATGACAGTAGTAGATAATCCAGAGGAGCCTTCAATACTGCAATATATTTATATTCATTATTAATATATTTCATAATATATATGTATACATAAATTGATATGTTTAGAAATATATATTAATAGGTGAAATAGGTATTGTGCAACAAACAGTGTTATTGTTTTACTTACTATATATATTCCAGTACTGTTCTATTATATTCCTATTTGGTTTTTTTTTCAATATTTTTTCTGTGCAGTGCTACGCAGCATATGAATTACACTGCTTTACTGAAGGTCCAATATATAATTATTTCAGATCCCACCTGTACGATTATATTGTCCAAATCAACCTATCCTTTGCAGACTTAAAACTCTAACGACAAATTCAATTTTTTAATGAGCGATGCCAACCACTGTTATAGGGTAGCTAAATTTACCTACCAAATCCATTCCTTACGGCAGTCTATTGTGTTTAAGTAAATCATATTTTAAGAAATGTTTGTATATCCTGTTTTTAAAACATTTTTAATCTTGTTTTTTGCTTGGGTTTAAAAAATATCCTGTATTTCACTCATAAGCCAGAATTGGTGATGAAGGCCACAGGAATATCCAAGTTTCTATAAATCAGTGTTCTTAAAATCTACTATTGAAGCTATTTCATTCATTCATTCATTTCT